TATTTTTTGCGCTTAAGAAAATAGTCTATTTTTAGTTTCTGCCCTGGTATTGGTTGATATATTGGCAGATACTTAAAACCATAGTATCAAAAAATAAATACCCTGCAACTTTTTATCTTATGCTATATTATTATTAGAGTGGAAGCCAAGCCAATGAGGGGTGGACATGAAGAAACATCTCTATATTTATCTTTCTAATAGTGATCGATCATGATTTGTGTCAATTCTGTCGTCTGTCGTATTATAACAGATTTAAATGGTTTTCAAAATGTTTTAATATTTCCTGAACATCAAGAATACAGCTTTTTAATCATTGCCATTTACAAAGGGAAAGCAGTTGAGTGTGTATGGGAAACAAACTGAAGAATGCATTTTAGTTAGTTTACATCTTGTTTGATATAATATTTTGCATATGTTCACTAAAGAAATGCCCTGCAAAGAAACCCCCCAAAAACATAGTATAAAAAAAAATCTGAACTGAAAAAGCTAGATTCATGCATCTGTAGTCAGTAGTACAGAAAAGTTTTAATATATAGGGTTTATTTATATTTTGTGCAACCAAATATCAGTTCAAAATGTGTTATAGTGACAGCTTGGCCTCGCTTTTTGAATATTCAGCTGCTTTAAAAGACTCGTAATTGCCAATCAGGAGTTGACACTAATCACTTGTAGAAAGGGAAAGAATAGGATGCGGTCTAATCAGTTGTGTTGCAGTGAAAGTAAACTGAAGCCGTTGGAACAGCTGTGGGGGTTCTTCTGGGCGAGTGCACAGCTGTAAGACCCAGGACCACATCTGTTGACAAAGAGCTCTGGGGTTGGTGTAATGTAAACCACCCCAGCCCCTGTGAGTCCTACCAGCTCCACTGAAAGACCAGCGTGTACTTAGTGTCACTTATGAAGCAGAAAGTGATTGTAGAGATTGATCGGGAGCTGTCATAACATTCCCATTAGTTCAGAAGACAGCTCAAGAAAGTCAGGTTTCAGGTTATTAAATGTGCATTGTGTAACTTTTCTGGTGGAGGGTCTGTCAAATGCTTTTCTCCATGGAGATGTTATTGTTTTGTCTGGAATGTTTCACAGTATGGTATTAAGCCTTTCTATCATCATGGTGAGCAAACTAGACTAAGTTACAGGTCAGAAGAAGGAGGTAGAGCTGTGGTAGTTTTCAAGTTAACAGCTACCCTTCCCTTTTGTTTCATAAAGATTTTCAATTCTGGGGTGGAATTATCTAAATGGGTATCATTAAGAAGTTGCCGATACCATACATACCTTGGTACATTGGCCACGATACGATACATACCTCGATACAGTGCACTTTTGATTCAGTACGATATATTTCAAATCAATTTGATACAGTTCAGTAAAAAATAATGGTTAACTCATGGCTGTGATACTAAAAGTCTTTGTTAAACCACTTCTTGTGCAAAGTCAATAAGAAACACACATTTTAATCTTCAAAAGTGTGAAAATGTCAAATGTGTCGCATAAACAAGTTTCCTTCCAGTAAATAAGCAACAAAACTGTAGTGCTGTAACAAAATAATTTAGTAAAATATACCAAAAATGCTCTTGGTGATATATCCATACAGCAGCCCATGATATTGATACTGTATCATCACATTAAATAATACTATATATCGATATTTTGATATTTTTGCACAGCCCTAATCAGTGTTTGTTTTGTTTTCTGTTTTAGAGAAGAGCTCAGCCTAAATATACAGGATTTGTGTGTTAAACATGTGAATGAAATTGCACATAACTACATGATTGTGATGAGGAAACAGCATTATAACATAGGTCAGAAAATAGTGTGTGTATGGGCCCTTTAAACAATAACTCAGTATAACATGTCATCTAAAATTTTGAAATCTTCTAAAATCTCTAACATGAACTCAAATGTGTGGCACTAAAGTCGGTCTGTTGCGTGCAAATGTGAATGTTGTCTCTCAGTGCAGCGCTACATTCTTCCTCTGTCAGGGTGCAGGAGGGGCAGGTTTTGGGGCAGATGTCAGACTGATGTTTAGGTTGTCATGTTTTGAGGTAAATCAAGCTACTATTTCTGAATGAATGAATGGCATGTGAATGGCTGCTCTAACTTTGTTTGGTCAAACTAAGAGGAAGTTTTTTGATGCATTAACACACAGCATGTGTTTTTGCTGCCCCTTGTAATAATCATCACTTCCATTAATACAGGACACTGTGGTGGCCCCCCATAGTCTACAATAAACTGGACTATATATTGGCATTGCCAAATTGGACTTTGTTGCTTATTGTATAATTGTATTGTAATGTATTATTGTATAAACTTAACAAGAGAGACTACACTTTATACTGCACAAACTTAATGAGGTTAAATTATTCAAATTAAAATAATTTGTGACACCATAGTCTTAACTATGAATAATGAATATATAATATCTTTTTTTTTTATTGTATATAGGCAGAACATCATTGTTGACTCTTTGGTTCAAATCCTCATATATATATATATATATATATATATTTTTTTTTTACAGTTTTGACCTTATAAACGTCTGCTCTTGTTTACAGTGTCTAGATTAGGTGACCCCTGTGACACTCAGCTGTGGCCTTCTCAGTAAACTGTACTCTTGGTTTATAGCACAGCATGTCAAATTGGAGTAACAGTTCTTATTTGTATTTGCATTTCACTGGGCTTTGTGTGAGTGGAGTGAGGAGTTTGTTCCAGACCTCCTCAGGAGCGCTTCTTGTTTAACAAATGAAGAGATGTGTGGGCCAGCAGCACATCAATGGGAGGGACAGAGGAGCTCCAGCCCCAGCAGAAGAATGGAAGAAGAGGATTTCCTCTCCACCCTTTCACTCTGTTCCTCCACTGTATGGAGGCTCACATTACAATACAGCTTCCTCTGGGCATTGTGAACTCTTCTGTCTGTGCTTAAGCATCTGTAGAATCTAAAATCAGGTGTAGGGTGTGCTAGCCTCACTCATATATTTTTTTTAAGATGGAATGGTTTTTCATTGTTATTTTATTCTCAATTTAACATGAATGGCATTGTTTAAGTGTGTGCTACTTCTTATGGGAGGGTGCCAGCCGTGAAAAAGTGTGTCAGGAAGGGAAACAGTATTGGTTTTGTTGCTCAACACAGACTTAGGCATACTGACATCTAACATGAAAAAGTTGGCTGTCACGAAGGAAACAAACTTGTGTATTTGCCAGGTGGATTTATGCAAGTTGACATTCAAGACATGCCTGTTTTGTACCTTTACGAAGGTGATGTAAAGTCTTTGTTGCTGCATTTTAACAGGAAGTCAGCGTCTAGTATTCTGTCTGTCAAAGCTACCAGAATCTTGTGGTTTTGGTAGTGTGACATTCTTGTTGCCTCATTTAGCTCCTCTGGTTTTGTCTGGGCACTATGATAAAGGTAATCTGTTTTAACAGGCAGTTATATTTCTTGAGTTACACATGCGACGTTTCTTAATGGTCCTTTTGTGTAATACAAAATCTACTCTTATGAGCTTTAAGCAATTTTGGAATGTTGTTACCTCCTCAAAAACATACCTGGAGTTGTGTTATGTTTCTTTTACACATATTTTAGTAATTCTGTATTATTGGTCTGTCTATATCTCCAAAGCTCAAAATGTTCTGTGCAGCCCTGTGGTGATAAGCAATAGTAGTCTTTATATTAACAGCTACATATTACCTTTAGTTCACTAGAGACTGGCAATACCAAGACTGAAATGATCCAAATGATTCTAGTGAAGTTGTATGGAGTTTAAAAACACAACGGAGCACCTGTATTCCTGTATTATGACGTGGCATCGCAAGGTGGAACAGTGTTTTCTGTTTGAGGGAAAAACTCAGCCTAAATATGCAGTGTTAAACTTGTGTGAATGAAACAAAACACAACTCCAGATATGTTTCTGAGGTGGAAACAACATTATAACATAGATCAGAAAATAGTGGAATACAGGCCCTTTAACAACTCCTTGGAATTCTCTGACCTTTTGAGCCTTGACTCATTAGGGGAATGAGCAGTGGCAAAGCTGATAAACCCTTTCATCAAATCTGTGCCACTGTTGATGCCAAAGCAGTGACTACAGAAATGAGTCAGCCCCAAAACACAAGTCTCTCTCTTCACACCCCACTCCAGCACTGTGAGAATGTGGCTCTTGGGCAGAAGCTCCACAGCCCACTAGAACAATTGGGTTATTGAACGTGGCTCAGTCAAACAGGCCCCTGCACTGCTCTTTTGGCCCCTGCAGAATGTCACACAGCAGTTTATAGTCTCATACAGAGATGTCTGTTTAGTTTCATATCAATAATACACATGCAATATTATATAGGTCAAAGTTGCACTTGTGAGCACATCAAAAAATAAGTTGATATAATGGTTTTGATATAGGGCAGCAGCTGGGGAGAGGTGGGTTGGGTGCAGAAAAACATTTTTTTGCTATTGAAAACTGAAAATTAAAAGGCCAATATTATACTATTTTCTGATCTGTGTTATAGTGTTGGTTCCTCAAAAACATACCCCGGATTTGTGTTTTGTTTCATTCACACTTGTTTAACACATGCACTTCATGACATCACAAGGTGGAAGAGGGCACTGTGAGTTTTGGAGATGTACAGCATAATAATAAAGGATTACTCAAACATGTGTGAATAAATGAAAACAAAACACAACTCCAGGGATGTTTTTGATGAGATAATATTATAACATGAAGCTTAAAAAGTCAATTTTGTGTAATATAAGGCCTTTAATGAATAAATGGCCATTCCTCACAAGCCCATTTTGCAAAGTTCAGATTTTCATAATAACTCCTATGTGGTTAGTGCAAACACGAGGAGTGGGAAGTTTTTTGATCCCAAAATGAAAGCAATTAAATCAAATACATGGTTGTAGTGATGTTGGGGTAAAAAGTTAAATTTGGTAAGACAACTGAACCACAAAAAGTGATCAATGTAATTCAATAACCTTTAAGGCTACGTACATTATATTTTGTCTCTTGTTTGTTTCACAGGTTGTTGATTGGAGCCCCAAAAGCCAAAGCGTTAGGAGTCCAAGAAGCTAATATCACTGGAGGTCTTTACAAGTGTGAGCTCACCCAGTCCAGTGACTGTGAACGTGTTGACTTTGACGGTGAAGGTAATAACTCTATAATGTCATTAATCTACTTTCAGTCTTTATATTGTAAAGAAAAGTAGTCATGACTGTTGTGTGTGTTCAGAGGACATCCGTGTGGAGAATAAGGAGGACCAGTGGATGGGGGTAACAGTGCAGAGCCAAGGACCAGGAGGGAAGATTGTGGTAGGTCAAACTCCATCTTAAGCAGGACTATGTCTCACACTTCAGCCTTGAGCACAGCTTATGTTCCATTACAGACATGTGCCCATCGTTACCAGAGAAGGCTGTTTATGAACACCCCTCAGGAGTCCCTGGACATCACAGGACGCTGCTATGTTCTGAGCCAGAACTTGACCATCGACACCTCGTCTGATGAAGACGGAGGAAACTGGAACTTCTGCCAGGGCCGGGCCCGAGGACACGAGAGGTTTGGCTCCTGTCAGCAGGGACTCGCTGCTGCTTTCACCAAGGACTATCGCTATGTGATGTTTGGAGCTCCTGGAGCATACAACTGGAGAGGTTTATTGTCTTTTACTTGCTGTCTGTCTTTAAGAATATTAAAATAAAATAACTCGTAGGATTGCATTGATTTCCATGGTAAAAAATGTTTAACTATTAAAATTGCTCTTTTCATCTATCAATGTATACCATAAGTGAAACCAAATCACCCCATGTTTACAAAGTATAACATTAATTACAACAGACCAAAATGTGTAAAATGATGAAACATTGATGAAATAAGTGAAAGCTTACAGAAACATACATTTGTGACCTGTAACTGGAGTAGTACTTTGTTTAATTTCTGCATGATTAAAAAGAAGAATAAAGCATTTTGTCTGCATCACCAGACCATTTGACAATGTGAAAAAATGCAATTTAGACCACCCGTTGCATAAATTCCAAACTTTCTGTATAAAGTTTGTAAGCAAATAGTTACATTTAAATAAACTCCAGTCTACATAGTCTTCAACTGTATAACTTTGCATTTGTTCATATTTGTTTGCATGTATCATGTGGTTTGTCCTCAGGTATTGTGCGAGTGGAGCAAAAGAACAACACTTTGCTGGAGATGGGCATATACGACGATGGGCCATATGAGGTAGGAGATGAAAACCTGCTGAACCCAGAACTGGTCCCTGTTCCTGCAAACAGCTACCTCGGTGAGCACTGAACACAGTATTTCCATTTTTGGCATGGGGGTTTTGAACATGATTGAATAGGGTAATTTGTTGTTTTTGTCCATAGGCTTCTCTCTGGATTCAGGCCACAGTATCATGGCAGGTGGTGCTCTGACGGTGGTTGCTGGAGCCCCCAGAGCCAACCACAGTGGAGCAGTGGCTCTGCTGGGGAAGGGGCCTCAAGGCTCCCCCAGACTGTCTTTGGTGCACACCCTACAGGGGCCTGGCCTGGGCTCCTCTTTTGGATACGACCTGGCTGTAGTCGACCTCAATCATGATAAGTAAGAAGTAATATCATACAGTCCATTTGTAATTAATACAAGCTATCAAAGGATTATGTCTCACTCAATATGGGGCAATTGCAATAAAAATATGCAATTACAATGTCCAACCGACCTAACACTCCATTTACTCTTTACAGATGGCAGGACATAGTGGTGGGTGCGCCTCAGTTCTACCTGAAAGACGCCGATGTTGGAGGAGCAGTTTTTGTCTACATCAACAAGGAAGGGAACTGGGACCAGGTCACTCCTATTCGGCTCAATGGGACCAAAGATTCCATGTTTGGACTGGCCGTCAAAAACATCGGTGACATCAACCAAGACCATTATGAAGGTAAGTGCATATTGAATGTAGTTTTTCATTTTAGTACTATATGTCTATCAACAGTGTATTTGTCTTTTAGATATTGCTGTAGGTGCTCCTTTCGATGACAACGGAGCAGGAAAGGTTTATATTTATCACGGTTCAGCTCAAGGCATCAACACCACTCCTGCACAGGTAGGGAAATAGAAAGTTATTTTAGCTTTATGTTTTAACAGTCTATTATTGAAGGTGCACTGTGTAACTTTCCGGGAGAAGGATTCATCACCTACTTGTCTCTGTGATGATGTTACTGCTTTTTTTAATTAGTTAATTAATCATATCATTTTTATAGGGCCTTTCAAGACAACCAGAGCACTTTACAGGTCATTGTTCATTTGCTCCACACTTGGTGGTGATAAACTACTATTGTAGTGACAGCTGCCCTGGGGCAGACTGGCGGAAGCAAGACTGCCAGTCTGTACCATCGGCCCCTCTGACCACCGTCAACACTCACACACATACACTAGGCAATGTGGGTGAGGTGCCTTGCCTAAGGCCACAACAACATTTTTTTTTTGCAACTGGTGCCTCACTGTGGCACCTGATTTTTTCAACAGTCTCCCATCCATGTACTAACCAGGCCCCGCTCTGCTTAGCTTCTGAGATCTGGTGGGATCAGGCTTTGACAAGCCAGTATGGCCTTAGTCTGGAATATTCCAGAGTATGCCTTTAAACATATCCATCTAGGATTAATTCAATTGATGTTGTTTTTATTGCTCAAAAATACCTTGAAACACATGCATTCTTACTGTGAGTGGGGTCACCTCTTCATAGATCTGGCCTGTAACTTGATTTGGTGACTTCACATGCTTGTTTTCATGGAAATGACCAAGTCTAACATCATATTTGCACCATACTCTTGGCAAAACGATAACATCTACATGGAGACAAGTATTGAGTGGATCCTCCACCAGAAAAGTTACAGAGTGTACCTTTAAGTTGTTGATGTGTTTAGGTTCTCTCTGGAAAAGAAAACAATATTAAATTCTTTGGATATTCCCTGGCTGGAAACATGGATTTGGATAGCAATTCGTACCCAGATCTGGCTGTGGGATCGCTGTCAGATGCTGCATTGATTTACAGGTAATAAGTCCTTATATATTGATATCACACTGGGGGTGTTCTACATGTATGTGCATTGGCGTTATGATCACCAGTTAACATGGAGAACACATTAGCAAAAACTGCTAAAAAAAGTTTTAAGTTTTAAGATTGTCTGAAAACTCAAGAAAAAATACAGAATTGATTTAAGCAGCACATTTTCAGGACTTTGATTTTCAACAGAAATAAAGGCTAACTTATGACTGTAATGTTATTTGAGAGAGACAGTACAAAATCAGCTCACCTGATTCTCTTTTTGATCAGATTGTGTTAAAATAAAGCTCAGATTACAGTCTAACAAAGCCGAAAGACAGAGCAGGGCCTACAGTTAACGTCAGACCCTCAGGGATGATGACATCAGCTGCAAAGTATCAATAGACAAATCAAGTCAAACAATCCTGGAAAATGACATTAGATCAACAGACATCATGCCTGACCCTATGTGGTACATGAAGAAGATGAGAATTATTTTTCTTGTTCTGAAGTATTTATTTGCTTGTGTCATTCCATTCATTTCTTGTGCTGTTTGCATTGTTCTCGGCATGTTGACGCTTATTAGAAATATGTATTTGTATAGCCCAGAGAGCCAATTATGTTAATTATTAATTCAAATCTATGTGTATTTAAGGGCCACTATGTAACTTTTTTGGCAAATCGTCAGCCAACTCTTTAAACAGAACGGCATTAAAGGGCCCATATTACACTGTTTTCTGATCTGTTATAATGTTGTTTCCTCATCACAAACAGATATGGACTTGTGTGTTGTTTCATTCACACGTTTAACCCACAAACCCTGCATATTTAGACTGAGTTCTCTTAAAAAGAAAACACTCTGTTCCACCTTGTGATGTCATGTTGTAATACAGGAAGTGCTCCACTGTGTTTTTAAACTCCTTACACTTTCACTAGAATAATTTGGATAATTTCAGTTATGGAATTGCCACCCTCTAATGACCCAAAGGTAAATGGTTTTGTTAAGATGAAAACTACCACTTCGTGACATCACAAGGTGGAACAGAGGATTTTGAGCTTTAGAGATGTAGACAGGCTAATAATGCAGGATTAAACAAACATGTATGAATGAAACAAAACACAACTCCAGGTATATTTTTGATGAGGTAAAATCACTGTAACATGTCATAAAACTCATAAGAAACCATTTAGCATAATATAGGACCTTTAAACTACATGCATATGTTACATTACATTGTACAGAGGTTTACATGGCATTTAATATTTAATCAATTATTAATCTTAATGCTTAAGAGGGGAGTCATCTATCCCACAGCTTTATTGTATTTAGTCCATACAAAATACTGCTTCTTAAAATGCTTATTCAGTAAGCCCCTGTGTTATTAATCCACTATTTGTGTGAAAATTGCGTATTCTTTCTTACAGTTACAATGAACATATTTCTTTTATTTCTCTCAGGGCACGACCAGTCATTAGCATTTGGAAAGATGTCAAAATAACTCCACGGGACATTGACCTCACAATTAAAACCTGTGGCAACAGTATTTGGTGCGTATTATGAACATCTCTGTATGCACTCATTTGACATAACTCATGCTGGTTTCATTGATGGAAGTCTTTCACTTTTTCCCCAGCTTCTCAGTGGATGCGTGCTTCAGTTACAGATCAAACCATGCCTCATACAGCCCTAGATTAAGTGAGTTAAAAAACCTTTTATTAGTCTATATTTGTTTTCCATGTACTATTCATGTGCTCTGCTATTGATGCAGCTATCAACTACTCTGTGGAGGCTGACACAGCTCGTTGGAAACAGGGCCTCCCCTCCAGAGTCGTGTTTTTGAGCAAATCTAGCTCAGAAAATGACTTCATCCATAATGGCACTTTGGAGCTACGTGGACAAAACCAGGAAACATGCATTAAGCTAAAAGCCAAGCTGAAGGTAACATTATTGATCCTACTGGGATAAAAGGGACTGTAGCTTTTAGTCATACACTTTTATAACAAATTCATGTTACTTTGGAGAATAAGTGTGTTGTATTGTACTTATCTTATGAATATGTTTTGCTGTTTTTAAGGACAATATTAAAGACAAGATGCACAGTGTTCCCATTGAAGTGTCTGCAGACATTATGGGTCTGAAACGGCAGAAGTCAAGGAACGGCATCCCACAGCTTATGCCCATTTTGGATCCATCCATGTCCAGCAAAGAAATCAGTGAAGTAAGAGTTAAATAACATACATCACTATATTAGGCACAGTAGGCAATTAGGATCAGGTTTCTTGAGTTTACAAAGTTTTGAAAAAGGGAAAAATAAGCAAGGGGGCCGGAGTGCTACTTGGATTTGTAAAGCAAAATTGTTCTTTTGGTGCTCTTCAGTATAGGGACCAGTCTCTAATTCAGAGTTGAAAAAAAGTGAGGCACTCTAAAAGTACAAAATACAATTTACTTTGGGGACACTAAAGGAAAGGCCAGATGTTGTAATAATTAAATATTTTTTGTATAGTTAAATAGTTTTATATAGTTAGGGTATTTCTTTTCTGCTTGTAACAAATTGCTTTGACTTTGTTGGGATTGTGTGGAGACTGAATGTTTATTTATTGCAGATAAACTTTTTAAAAGAAGGCTGTGGTCCGGATCAGATTTGCCAGAGTAATCTGAAGATGAATTATGAATTATACTACAAGCAAAACAACCAAGGAACATTTTCACCCATACCTGTGTGAGTATTAGTAATGACATATTATTCTAAATTCACTTTTTTTTTTACAGTTTTATTATGGGCTTCAGTCTTTCACTCAGAGTTGTATTTTGATTGAGTCATACTCAAAGTGTTCATTTTTACACTGTGTTGAAAAATCCACAGCTTGTTTTGTTAAAATGCTATTATGAAGAAGTGAGGTCAGTTCTGTGGTTTTGAAAAGGAAACCAGTGGAACCGTTGCCAATATTTGGTTTTGGATTAATGTTTTGGTTTAGACTGAACATTTATAAAATTATGATCTGTGTGATAATTTATATTAAAGAGGAACACAAGATGTCTGCTTGAAGGACATTTTATCCCAAGCAAATAACACAGTGTTAAATTCCCATGAGTATCATAGTGAAGTAATGCAATGTCTGCATGCAGCAAAAATGGCATCCCAGTATTTTACCTGAACTATGAGAAGAAGGACTTGGCTGTGAAAGTGACAGTGAACAACAAGAATGGAGATGATGCGTATGAGGCAAAGCTGACTGGGCTATTCTCAGAGAATCTGACCTATTCTGGAGTGCGCTCACAGGTAAATGAAGACAGTTAAAGCCCACCTAGTTAGAAGACAGTTTTGATCAGTAGAACCTAAAGTATGTGATGTTTTCTGCAGGACAAACAGATTCTGTGTAATGCGAACCAGAATGGGTCTCTGGCCGAGTGTGAGCTGGGAAATCCTTTGAAAAGAGACTCAGAGGTACACTAGACTTCTACCTTCTACTCTTAAATGTTTATTTTAGTCTCCATTTTTATATTGTATTGTTTATTTTTAAGGCTGTGCTGTACATCCTCCTGAGCACAGCAAGTCTCACTTCAGACACAGAAGAGATGAACATAGACCTGGAGCTCCAAACGTAAGACACGGTGCTAATACATACAGTGATATTTTGTTATGGTGTAGACTTATGTGTGTTTATAGTGACATCTGCTGGGGGAAATTCTTCTCTCCAGTTTATACACCTCACATCTGAATTTATGTTTATCATGCCATTTCAGAAGCATACTTTCTTATAACCTCAATTTTCTGAACTTCATATTAATAAGTGATCATCTGAATCTGAAAATGTGAACATCTATTCTATTTTTGCACAATTTTTTCCCATGGTAGCTGCATTAGCTCTATAGCAGGCTGAAATGTTATGCTTATCTTTTGTACTTTTGAAATTGTACTACCAATGTTTTGTGTACCTTTTAGGACCAGTGTACAAGAAAACATTGCTTTTTCTGTGAAGGTTCGAGTGATAATTGAGGTTCCATTAACAGTGACTGGGTTAGTATATACTAGTATTGATTTATTGTACTTTTATAGTGTCCTCTGTGCATTAAACATCAGCTTGTTCCATTCAGGTTGGTTAATACAAATACAGTGCATTTCGGTGGTACTGTCATAGGAGAAAGCGCCATGAAAACAGAAGAAGACATCGGGAGTTTGATAAGCTACAAGTTCACAGTAAGTTATCACATTTTTGATTGTTATTATTATGAATTTATTTTAATTGTCTTGTAGATAAATAATTTGTGGAAGAAGTCTACTCCTGCCTCACTATACATCCACTGGCCAAAGTCGGTGAAAAATGGGAAATGGCTTTTGTATTTGGTAAAAATTACAGCTAAGGAAGGAACAAAGGACATTATCTGCACTCCAAAGTCTGAAATAAATCCTCTTAAACATATTAAGGTGAACATTTGTGACCTCTGAATAGTCTGAACGATTTGACATAAACCTAATTTACACATTTTGCTTGTAGGAGTCTTCTTCATCCAGGACAAAGCGAGAGATTGGAGAAAGAAAAATAGCTGAGAGATCTGCAGACCAGAGAAAAGTTTTGGTGAGATCAAGTTTTTAAATATAAGATAACTGTAAAATGTAAGGATAATTAACATTTTTTTTCTCTCTGTAGTCCTGTGAGAATGGTCTGCAGTGTGTGTTACTCAAGTGCCCCCTGGAGGGATTGGACGGAACTACAGTTGAGCTCAAATCGCGCTTGTGGAACTCGACTTTTCTTGAGGTAATTTGACAAGTTTGTTTTAGGCAGTAATAACGTAGATAAAGGAAACATGTAAGTTTACATGACAACTTAATTAGTCTTGTATAATTGTAGTGATAATATTGAAATGTGGGTAAATAACTTACTGCCCCCATGCAGCATAAATTTAAGTCAGTTGCCACTGTTTTACATTTGTTTAAAAAGACAACATAAAGTGTTATTTTAATTTGGTTAAAACAAATGCCCATTTCAACATTTTATTTTGGTTATTTGGTGTATTTTCATAGGATTACATTTCTTCTACACCTCTGGATATCATTGTGAAGGCCTCACTTGTGCTTCACACCTCTACAAAAAACACAGTCCTCAGAACACCAGACTCCAATGTAAGAGACTAGAATTTTAAATGTTTTAAATGTCTATATAAAGAGAGTGGTGTAACAGTGATGTGCTGTAGGTGACCGTGACCGTGTATCCAGAGACCACCATCACGCCGTACGGAGGAGTGCCCTGGTGGATCATACTGGTCGCTGTCCTTGCTGGCATTTTAATTTTAGCTTTACTTGTGTTTCTGCTTTGGAAGGTGAGTGGGCAAACACTGGGATTTTTAAGAGGAAACATAAATATGTTAAACACTAAATGTTTTTCCAACTCTTAGTTTCACCTCTCTTTTCCAATAATGCCAAATTTATTTATTGTTCTGCAAGTTAGACTTCTAAAAGTTGTTTATATACTGTTGCATAGAACAGTTAAGTTTACTTTAGGTAGAACTTCTTTAATATTTAGATATCTGTTTTTCTAAACCATCATTACCTTGCTCCCATCAGTGTGGTTTCTTCAAGAGAGCAACTAAAGACCAATATGATGCTGCGTATCACAAGGCAGAGATCCATGTTCAGCCCTCTGACAAAGACAAACTGTCTGCGGAGGCCTGATCACAGCTCTCTGAACAGGGGTAAAACAGCTGGAGCATGCGGCATGGCGTGTTACCACAGCAACTAATCAGCTCCGTTTCCTCTTTGGAAAAGGCCTAACTAAATGTGCTTAAATTCACACACATATTGTACATATTGTACTTAACTAATGCAATAATCCTGGGCACACTGAGACATGACCACCACATTTCTCTCTGTGTATTTTGTACAATATGTCTCTGGATTTTCACTTGCATTTTTAGAACAATGCAAATGACTTGTGCTGGAGCTTCTGCTCAAGTCTTGCTTTGCTTGGCTGCATAAAGTATTTTCAAAATCAATGCATGCTTTTAAAATAACTGTTAAATTGTAGTAAATTAATTGTAACCACTATATTTCTTCTTTTATAGTGTGGATTCTTCAATCGCTCCAAGCAGGAGGACACAGTGGCTGTCCCTCGGTACAACGCTGTGCGGATACGGAAGGAGTCTTTGGAATATAAAGACGGGAAAGTGAAACTTGATGCTTTGGACAAAAAGCAATGGATGACCACTTGGATCAACAATGAAAGTTACTCATGATTTGAGTTAAACTCAGGTCCCTGGACTTTCTACACTGAACTATTTTACTTCATTGTAAACTTTGGCTCACCATGAGCGATATGTAGATGTGTTTTGAAGACACTGTCAACATTTTGTAAGTTTTGTAAATAATGAAATACTTGTGCAAGCACTGTATATTTATTTTTTGATATTTGAAATGCAATTTTGCAGCCAAAAATGTTTTGGCCTTGAATCTGCGTAGCAGAACAAATGACTGAGCTTTATACTGTTAAAGGAGCTTTGCACCTACATTTGGTCCGTGCGAAGAAGGTACACTGTAAAATTATGTGAATGTAAGTAAAATGTACATTTTGGGTCCAGTTTTTTTTTTCTATGCAAAAACAATTTATTTTACAAGGCTGAATTCAGGTACATTAAGTCTTCACAAAATAAACAATGTATCTGGAGAAAGTCCCTGAAAGGACCATTGAAACAGGTAGCATCCACTGTACTGTAGCTCTGCACTGTAGAAAAATTGGTTCTACATTCAAAAGGGAAAATGTGATCTGTCTCAATTGTTTTGTTGAATAATAAAACTGTTTACAATGTCAATTTGCTTCAATTAATTTATTTTAACCTGTTTGAAGCCAAATCTGTGTTATTATTTTAGAACTGCCATTCACTTTAGAACATCTTATCTGTATGCATCTGTACAAAATAGATTACCTTGAAAATAGCTTCTGAAAAGGATATATCACTATATCACAACCTTTATTGTGACTAACAATAAAGCAATGTTTGGTTTGCAAATTCAGTCAAATGTTAATCTGAAGGTTTTCTCCTGCTCCTTGCGCTGGTTGTCACACATTTTGGACACTTCCTCCACTCTTCTCTGCAGCAGAACTGAATTTTGGTCAATCCACTGAAGAGAATCCATGTGTGCGTTTAAAATTTTGCAAATTTGTTGAAGCTAAAAGAGAATTTAAAATAATTACTACAAACCAGAACAGGTTCACGTTCACACTTCACAGGCAGATTTTAAAACTCTTACCGGGTCACTAGTGTCAGCTGGGCCGCTGGATGTGTTCAAGTGCTCTATGATCTCCTTCAGATCCTGGGACATCCTCTTGAGCTGTGCGTCTACATTCTCAGCGAGCTTATATGTTCTCTCACGCTCCTCATCAGCATTCTGCATGTAGATGGTTCCACTCTGCTCTTTCACAGACTCCTCCAGGGGACACAGCAGGTCCTCTAGCTCCTTCTGCTGGGACAGGATGAAATCCAGCTCCTGATTTAACCGCCTCTGGTCCAGCTTTACCTTCTCCATTTCTTTGTGCAGTGACGTGATCTTCTCGCCATTCTCCACCAGCATGCGGTCCCAGGCATTCACTTGAGTGGCCTGTTGCAAGAAGTGCCTCTCCTGGTCCTCCAGCTCCAGACTCCACTTGTTGATGAGGCCCTCCAGTTGGGCATAAGTCATCACTGGAGGAGCAGTGGTGGTGGTAGTAGTGGTAGCAGCAGTTGTAGTTATAGCTGTGCTCGTACTAGGTGCAGTAGGTTTGATCCCCAAGGTGAAGCCAGGAGTAGTCCCAACTGTGGTTGCTGCTGCTGTGGTAGCAGTAGTCAAAGCAGAGGCGGTGGTAGCAGCTCCCAGAGGTTTCAGCGTCAAAGATAACGCTGTTGTTGTAGTGGCTGGAGCAGTGCTGGCTGCTACTGAAGTTGGAGCAATGGGCAGAGCAAAGCCTGTGCCCAAAGCTGGAGCCGTGCTAGAGGCAGCTGTAGAAAGAGAGAACAGGGATGGGGCTGTGGACTGAACGGGCTGGGTGGTTGAAGGAGCAGGTGTAGAGGAGGGCTTGATGCCCAGAGAGAAGCCTGAAGGTTGAGCGGTGGTAGCTACTGTTGGGGCAGCTGGCTGGCTCCCCAGGGTTAGTGTAGAGGGTGCTGCAGATCCAAAACTAAATCCACCTAATAACCATGGGGTGACAGTAAAGTTTAAAAGTTTTATTCAACGTGACAAACAGTTGTAGCTACAACTTATGTTTAACACATTAGCAACAATGATGAGATGGGGTGCACTGTACCTGTTGCAGTAGTAGGGGCTGCTGCTGTAGTGGCAGTGGCCTGCACTTTGGTGCCAAAGCTGAAGCCGCCGAAGCCTGATGATGCGGATGTCGCTGCGGGAGCTGCCGCTGATTGGGCCTGGGTGGCAGCTCCAAAAGTAAACCCTCCTCCAGTGGGTGCAGCGGTGCTCTGCGTGGACAGAGGGACGCCCAGAGTGAACCCTGCGCCCGCAGCCGGGGCCGCTGTAGAGCCTAGCGTTAACCCTGTAGCTGTGGTCGTCTGAGGAGCCGAGCCCAGGCCGAAGGTTGTAGTGGGAGTCCCAAACGAGAAGCCACTTCCAGAAGCGGTGCTCTTGGCCGGGGTTCCGAAAGTAAAACCGCCGGTGGAGTTGGTGCTGGGTTGAGCAGCATTACCAAACGTAAAACCGCCTCCCGAGGGTGCCGTGGTGGATGTGGGCATCCCAAATCCTGTCACAGGGGCGGCTGTAGTTGCCTGGCCAAAACTAAACCCCCCAGATCCTTGTCCGAATGAAAATCCGCCACTCATTTTGTTTACTATGTACGCGTGTTAGCACTAGCAAACAGTCACTTCCTTACTGTTTTGGCGGGTCTCAAAATCCTTCTTTCACGGTCACTTCAGTTGTCTGGTATCGCCACGGCAACCTTAACTTCAGTAACCCGTTGTATTAAATGGTTATTTCTAAAATGAATTTAGACCACAAGTATTTTAAAATTCAAGAAACATATTTTCATAAAACGTGGCCTACCGCTTCAACAACAGTCCACAGTCATGGCGCACTTACGGAAATGACGACAAAGCGTACGAAGTATTTTTTTTTTATCAAGAGAGTTGTATCCTGGTGTCCTGGAGTCGTCCCGGTGGTTCTTTGGGAATAACTATAGAAATATCCCGCCTTTCTGCTTTAATGGACAGCTACTTCAACAATGCGCTTCGTAGTTACAAAAAGAAGTAAACGGGATTGAATAAAGCCATCGGGTACCATCGTTAAAGTTGGTCACAGTCTTAAGGTTCGGCTTTTAATATTATTTTCAACTTATAATTACTAAGTTTTGCTTTAGATGTTTGTATTTCTTTGTGGTTTAAAACCTCTCGTTTCAGCCTTCTGTGTTGGTTTTAGTGAGCACGGAGCATAGAACTATATAGATCCATGGCGCGGAGCGGAGGCGTTGAAGACAAAGCTTTACATTCACTTCTCTTGGCCTCACTGTTACTCTTTGAAGAAAGTAGCCCACTGCAAACTGGACACCTGCTACAACCATGACATTTTGATAGCTTGACCAGTCTGCCCTCAAACTGAAGATCTAAAATATATATAAGTACGACAGGGACTATGGAATCCTCAGGCATTTTTATCAATGAACGATAACATACTGACCGCAAATACGCAGTTCTCATTTCAAACTAGCCATTAAGCTAATGTCAACTTGGCTAACTAAACGCACGAACTGTTGTTGTTGTTGTTGTTGACGCTTTGTCATAAGTATTTAAATCTTTCTAGATATCGTTTTATCTCTAACAGAGCAAACAGCATGAGGATCCTTAGGTTTCTGAGGAGTAGTGTGGCCATAACAAAAGATATAGACTTTTATTCCAGATTCTCACCTTCTCCTTTGTCAATGAAGCAGTTTCTGGACTTTGGTAAGACAAACTTGCGTAGTTCTTTTCCTTTTATCTTTTTGTTCATATTTTTATTTTTGCTCTGTAGTAACTCCCCATTGTGACTGTTGCAATGTCTTTATATTATGAAACACTTCATAATCAGTTGTTACTTGATGTAATACTAATCTATTGTTCGAATAATGTATAGCCCGTTCTATATGTTTAACAGATGTAAGTCTTAAACCGTTGGTGTATGTGTAACTTAAATGTCTAATAATTTTCTATTTACACTTTTCAGGGTCAGAAAATGCTTGTGAGAAAACCTCCTTCGCCTTCCTCAGACAGGAGCTGCCAGTGAGGTTGGCCAACATAATGAAAGAAATCAATCTGCTTCCTGATCACCTACTCCGCACTCCCTCAGTTCGACTGGTCCAGAGCTGGTATGGACACTGCTTTAAGATGTTTATCTGTTAAGAAGTTTTTTGTCAATATTTTTATTACTGATTTATCCATTGCACTAATTGATGATTTATTGACTATTGTGCAGGTATATGCAGAGTTTTCAGGACATTCTTGAGTTCAAAGAAAGAAATGCAGATGATGAAAAAACCATCTATGAGTAAGTTTCTGTCTATAAAGGAAAGAGAATATTATTGATACTTTGCAGCTGATGTCATCATCATTCCCTGGGGGTGTGAAACTAACTGAAAGCTGTACTCTGTTAGAAGCTATGCAACTCAAGTTAGATTTTAATCTGAGATTTATTTTAACACAATCTGAGCAGAGAACTGATTTAATTGGAATTACAACAGGTGAACTGATTTGTGCTTTTACACAAGTCTCACATATAAAATTGCGGTCACAAGCCAGCTGCAATTAGCCAACAGTTTTTCAGTTCATCACTCTCTCTTAAACAGGACCGTGAATGCTTGTACTGATTACGTGGTCCTGAAAATGTGTTATTTAAAAGTGTCTTTTCTTTCTTTCTTTTCTTTTGTCAATGTTTGCTAATGTGTACATTATGTCACCATGGTAACAGCTACATATATATCTCTAATAGTGGAATGTTTTTGACAGCCCAGCGTGACGTCACTTCACTGTATCAATACTTCGATGTTTCTGCAGTTTTACAGACGCTGTTATAAAGATTCGAAATCGACACAATGACGTCATTCCCACCATGGCTCAGGGAGTGGTGGAGTACAAGGACACCTATGGAATGGACCCAGTAGTGAGCCAAAACGTTCAATATTTCCTTGATCGTTTCTATATGAGTAGAATATCCATCAGAATGCTCCTAAACCAACACAGTGAGTTGATAACCATATTTTAATTTCCATTTACTTCTGCTTATAAAGTTGTATGTTGTTATATTTCAGCACTCCTCTTTGGTGGCAAGGTGAAGGTGAATCCAGCCCATCCTAAACAGATTGGAGGTATTGACCCACACTGCCGCGTCAGTGAGGTCATCAGGGGTGAGAATGGAGCTCTTGTGTTTCTGCAAAATATCAACAAATTATTTCAATGTTCTGAAGTGGAATTTTAACCACACATCTTTCTCATTGTCACAGATGCCTTTGAAAATGCAAGAAATCTCTGTGACCGCTACTACATGAACTCTCCTGACCTCATACTAGAGGAATTTAACGGTGAGTAGGTATCTTTATGGTCCAGTATAGTCTATTATATTTGTTTTTCTACATAATAATGTGTATATTACATCTCTACAGCAAAAGAAAAAGATAAACCTATTACAGTGGTTTATGTTCCCTCCCATTTGTACCACATGGTCTTTGAACTTTTCAAGGTATTTGTTCTTTTATTTCAAAAATCCTTGTAGTGTAATCTGTATTACTCTGTCAAAGTAACCAAACCTTTCCATTGACAGAATGCCATGCGCGCCACCATGGAGTTATATGGGGATTCTATGGAGTATCCCCCAATCCAGGCGCATGTTGCTCTGGGCACAGAAGACCTGACAGTAAAGGTAAAAAAAAAATCTGCTCTACAGTTAAATTATTTTTTCAAATTGACTCAACAGATTCATGATTTTGTCTTTGTATTTAACAGGTCAGCGATCGTGGTGGAGGTGTCCCACTGAGAAAGATTGACAGACTCTTCACCTACACTTATTCCACTGCGCCCAAACCTGACATAGAGCGCTCTCACGCCGCCCCTCTGGTCAGAGCTGATTATTGTTGAAAGAATGCACATATTATTTTTAAAAATCACTGATTATTAGTTCCTGCTTATTTTTCAGGCTGGTTATGGCTATGGTCTGCCCATTTCTCGTCTTTATGCCCGGTACTTCCAAGGAGACCTGAAGCTGTACTCTTTGGAGGGATTTGGGACAGATGCAATAATCTACATACGGGTATGGAAATCAGTTTTTCTTTTGAGGTTTGATCATCCATATTAAAGAGTACATTGTTACTAAGGAGCTTATTGTTGCCTTACATTTTTGTTAAGTTTATTTATTTAAAAAAGGACAGTGCACAATATGCATTTACTTTAAAAGAAGAGACCAGGTTGTACTAGTGCTACTTTTCACCTGTAGTCCCTGTAGTTAAACATACAAAGAAATATATACATTAAAGATTTGTGTGTGCGTGTGTGTATATAATATATATATATATATATATATATATATATATATATCATATATCATATCATATCATATCATATATATCATATATATATATATATATATATATATATATATCATATATATATATATATATATATATATATATATATATATATATATATATATATATATATATATATATATATATATATATATATCATATATATATATATATATAAGATAATAATAAAGACTAAAATTGTCTCTGGGAAAAAGTCTTTAATGCAATGAATAATTTGGTTTTCTAATAGTTAAATGGGTTTGTTTCTTTCTCTTTCGCGTATATAAACATGCATACACTTTCAACCATCCGTTGTGCCATTGTTCTTTTAGGCATTGTCCACAGAGTCAATAGAGAGACTTCCAGTGTACAACAAGTCTGCCTGGAAACACTACAAAACCATCCACGAAGCTGACGACTGGTGTGTCCCCAGCAAAGAGCCCAAGGACATGACCACCTACCGGAGTTTCTAAGACCAATCCAGAGTGTTGAGTGAAAAATGGGTTAGTTTAGGACCAGGCTGCTGTGAGGCTGATCATGAACAAAGATAAGTAAGATATATCTGACTGTGTAGAGTAGTAAAAATGTATTTAATGGAGTAAGGTGTCTACCAGCATGTCCTTCAAGTTCAGCATCTATCGCACACCTGTCTAAATATGGATTTCAAGTTCATTTTGGCCAGTAATAAACCTCTGCCATTTCCTGTTACCTAAATAATGCATTCTATTTTTGTGGGATCATGTTGGATTTTCCATTTTTAGTCAACTTTCTTGTGCTGTTACAAAATAAAATCAAACAGAGTCAAAGTATAGGGAAAGGCTTATTTATTTTCAGTATTCATGTTCTGTCTGTCGCAGCCACCATCAGAATGAACTTGAGCTATATTCTGTTATTACAGTATTATGTCTTCTGTCTGTAATATGGTTACATTTAAAATAAACACTCCCAAGTTCATGAAATACATTATTTGTACAGCATCTTTGAATATCCAAAAAGTGCTAAAAAAATGTAATGCATTATTAATCTTAGAGCTGTAGTCAGTGATTTTTTTCACACTAATATGCTGCTTCTTATTGTATTCTTGAGCAATACACTAAATTCCCCGAGTACCACCAGATCTAAACAAAGTTTACAATGGGAGTAGCATAGCCTGAGTAGTTCTTAATTAGGAGTAAACAAGAACTGCTGAAGTCTTGGTGTACCACCAGTGGGATACATGCCAGTTTGAGAAACACTGGTCTATACCCAAGATTTGCTACATCCAACTGCTTGGAAAAGTCAAAAAGCTGCTAATTTGTTTTATATGGTTATATATGTAAATGTCGTTTGTAGTTTTGAATGCAAGACTTAAATGTAGGTCTCAGTTAAAATCATTATCCATCCATTAAGATGGATTATATAAATAAAATTTATCAAAATGAGATAAAACACAATTGTTAGAGGGAATTTGTTCAAAATAGTTTATTGATGGTATATGTACCAAGAAGTGTTTGTGAAGACCTGACAACGGCCTTCCCCTCCTGTAGCTCTTTGTACAGAAAAAACATTTCATAGTTTGGCCTCACACTGTGCAGTCAGGTCTGTGTCCAGGGCACTAGCACATGGCACCAGTTAGTACACAACCCAAGGACCAAAGACAGTCACTTCACTTGCCAGTTTGTCGTCTTAAGATTGGACAAAAGATGACCACTCTATTCTACTTAGTAGAAAATCTCAGATACAATAAAACAATGGCCTTTAGGTAAAAAACAATGCAGTTATAGGCACATGTATAAAACGTATTTATACATTCCAACCTTGTCATGCCCCGCAGCTTAAAGACAAATATAGTGCTTTATCTGTACAATAAAATGGTTGTAAAAGATGCAAGTTACACTATGACAAAATATAAAAAGCAGTATACATTGGACTGCCACAACTACATTTCCACTGAAGACATGTAGATTAGAAGCTTGTAGCTTTATAGTGGGAAAAACCTTTTGGTCTCATATACATTTCTGATTTTTTAAAAATATAGTCCTTTAACTTTGTTAAAAGATTTAGTGGAAAAGAAAGTGGAGGGACCAGTGCAATGAGCAGTGGTGTGGCGGTGTGGACGTAAACACTGGCATAAACAGCCCTGTGTGTGTGGACTTTATGGGGTGAGAGCAGCTGCGGCCTCAGCACACAGAGTCTGTGCCGATGGGCACTCTCCCACTTCGCCGGCCCTCCTTTTCCTTCTCTTTCTCCTTCTTCTCCCTCTCCTTCTCCCTCTGCTTCTCCAGCTTCTCCTGAGCCTTACGCATTTCTTTCAGCTTCTTTTTGATCGTCGACCGGTCATTCTGACTCGACACACCAAGGGCCTGAAACACAGGATTTAAAATACACTGTAGTTTACACTGTAGGACTACTGAATGCACTTGAGATTTAGCAGCCACAAGAGGGCAGTAGACAAAGACAAGCCCTCTACGGTGTCTCAAGTAAGTGATCATTTGAGAAGCTTTTATTTAAACATAACAAGAATAGAAGAATAACCACCTTTAATTTGTCACTGTCTAAGTGCAGCAGTTGCTGGCCGTCCACTCCTTTGGCAGTAAAGTCGGGCGTGTACTGGTCCATGTTGAGTCCCATTAACCAGTGGCACACCTGCTGACAGGTCCACTCGGGCACAGGGCGGGTCTGCCACTGGTAGTCTTTCCCCGTGGACACAGGCTCATCGTCCAGTGTCTGAAAAGGCAACACACACGGCATGAGACTCAGGAAGCAGCCATCAGACGCTTTACACAGGAGGTGCCTGTGATATGCATCAGCCTGTTTGCAAATCAAATACTTTTGCCTAAACAAAAAAACATATCTATAAAGTTGGATGGTTACAGTGCACATCCAGTGTATACATGTGCGTGCATTCACAGCTGAGTAACAAGTCACACTCTTTCTACATTCAATGCCACATCGGATGCAAAACAGCACTGAACAGATCCTTGTTTTGGTGTGCTAAAAGGTAAAAGAAAGTACCAGCTGACCATTCTCACAAAGTCTAAAGCCTCACAGCTGAAAGAGAAACAGAGGAGACACACACATGCACTTGTTTTTGAACGCCTCCCATTCAGAAGCACAGTAAAAAGAGAAACTCAGAGCATGCCTCAGACCGTCCCTTTGAGCCTGTGCAGCAAGACCACTCACCTCACTGGAGGAGAAGACTAGAGTGTGAGAGCGCCCAGTCAGATTGGGTTCAGCCACTAACCCAGAGATGTCTGAACTGGGGCTGCCTGGGTTACAGTCATCTATGACTGACAAACTCTGAAACAAGCGAGACAAGGAACGCATTTACTTCAAACAAACAGCACATCAGTACTTCACTGGGGAAGGCAAAGACAGCACTACAGGGAAAAACTCAAATTAGAACGTGTTATTAAAATGTATTCTGACACATGTGGTGCTAACAGGACTGACCTACCCAAACACACGTGAACATGCAACAGCTCTACCACCCACACCTACAAACCCTAAACTACAGCACTACTGGTACTAGTGAAAAAGACAGAGGTATGGGGTAATGTTTAAATTATTAGCAATCTTCTAGGAGGACTGTTAATTTATGATTAAACATGGATCTTCTTGTTATTCATTGTTTGTTGCACCAGCTAATGTCCAAAGATTTCAATGTCCGCACTTCAAGTCCAGTGCTTTTTTAAAATGAAAAACTTCAGCGATAGTGGCAGTTTACATTTTACACATTGGTGGATATCACACTCAGAAGAATGCCCAGTTTTTTTCTTTTGATAAACTCAAATAATTCATTTGACTTTCAGAGTGATTCTTTGTCTACATAGCTCGTGCAGCAGTAAAGGGAGGATTACAATTGTTTTAAGTTTAGTTTATTGTCAACAACACAACCACATACCCAAGAAACCTCTGATTCTAAGAGTGCACAGTGGTGAGAATTATACTCCACATACTACAACTGTTAGAGGAGAGGCGTAAAGCTCTACTGTGACGTTGGTGAGAAATACAAAAGTTGATACTGTACCACATCTAACGAGCGACTGAATATAGAGGACCAGGAGAGATTTGTCTGTTTGAGGGAAACAGGATTCAGTCACATTATTAGACAGCTCCAGGAGCAGGACCACTTTGTGTAATCTTACTTGAGTCATTAGGCCAAAGTGGTGGAAATACCAGGACCACCACAGCCTGTGTGACACTCAGCCAGGCGTGTCACCAGCCACTTTTCATCTGCCACTATTTGTAATGACACAAAAGCCTTTGCTGTAGGCTGACTGTAGCATATGGGTCCAGTTACTGTCTTTGTATCTATGTTATTTGGCAAACTGGTCACGTGTTGCAAACAGGAAACAGACATTCGATTGGACTGCACTAGGCTGTTTTTCCGTTTGGTTAAAAGGTATAATGTAGAGCAGCGCTAAAGCAGCATTATTACTGCATGTTTGTAATTGGACTCAATAAATAATGGGTGATTTGGAGCTGCCTGGACAGGTGTCCCTTCTATAGTGTGTCTAATGGGAGCTATGGTTACCTTGGGCTTGCGCTCCTGGCTCTGCTCACTGCTGGTCTCTGTGGCCACATAGGGCAGGCTGTTACTGGAGCAGGATGGGTCTCTCTCTCTGTCACGGTCTTTGTCTCCAAACCAGGAAAAGGGCATGCAGGTTGGGACGGACGTCATGGACTCTGCTGGGGACAGGTTTCCTCCAGACTCCTCCAGCAGCTCAGCTGAGCCCCTGTTAAACAATAGAAGAGTCAACATGAAGGCCCACTATAAACTAAACACTGTACAATGTACGGTTCTTTTTGTACCTGCTGTCCAGGGATGCTCTCATGGCTTCTTTGTCTTGCTGCTTTTTGCCTTTGCCCCCCGACTTTCGCAAGCCTCTGTTTCATAACAGCAAAAATGTGTACCAGTTTGTCCAGAACATGACGTAGAGTAACAATGGTCGTATTATATCCCAAGTCAACATTAAATATTTGAATTAATCCTTTTAAAGTTTAGATAAACAATGTTAAATAAACAAAGAGTAATAGCTTAAACTAAGGTCTAACTCACCCAAAATCAGGAAAGCGCCTTTTGTGTTTTCCTGCAGCTACTGGCTCATTCAACTCCTCTGTTGGCAAACCCCCCAAAACAAAACACTTGAAAAACAATCCAAGTAACAGTTCACCCTTCTTGTGACAAGTGTATGTTTACCTTTGGAGCCCTTGGTCTTTCCCTTTGACTCTTTCTTCTTGGGGTTTCTCATGAAACCTGGAGAAGTGTCCTTGACGGGAGAGGGGCTCCCACAGCTCTCGATGCTGTCGCCCTGTGAAGGTGACAGGGACGGGCTGCTGGACAACTGGGCTTGGTCTTTGGAGCGCTCTGGATCTTCTCTCTGTACATTTGTGTAACACACAGGCACTGGCAGAGACAAGCTCTCTTGCCATGACCTCCTCCTCCTGGGGCTCTCTTGCTCCTCTTCATCGGCATCTTCAGCTTCCTGTAAGAAATATTAAAATATTAGCTAACCCTAATCTACTAGAGATAAACCACAAGCTAAATAATGTAAAAACTGTGTATCTTTTTGTGCCATAGCATGTACAGTGTGTGGTACTTCAGACAGAATTTTAAGGGATAGAAAAGGGAATCAAAACACATGACACAGATCTGATGTCTTATTTTTAGTACTTGTGGCTACCTTTTTTTCAAGTGTCCTAAAGGTTTTATCGCTCATAATCAGATTCTTTGTAAGTGTGCAATAACTAAAAGATTCCACTGTTATCAGAGAGACTACTTGATGAATAGATTCCACAGTTGATAGGTACATATCTGACCTGAGGCTCCGGTGAGGGAGCAGTCAGGCTCTCCTTCAGTTTGCTACGTGATGGAGGTTGGCGTTTGGCTTTGAGGGCAAGCAGGCCTTTAGCTCTGTGTGCACTTGTGTCCAAACGCTCTGTCTCAGGCACAAGCTCCGCCCAGTCCCGCTCTGAACAAA